TCTTCCACTAACTCCAGTCTCCCCCATACCCCTCTGTGATCCTTCCTGGACCTTCACTTGTCTACCTTTTCCTTCCACCAGTGAGACTCTCCAGGTCCCTTTCAGCCACCTGTAGTCATGCTCTGATTTCCCCATGGGTTAAGAAGCCGCTTATTGATTCATTTAGAGCAGGGGTGTCGAACTCATTTGTTATGAGGGCCGGATCTGACATAAATGAGACCTTGTTGGGCCAGGCCATGTGTGTGTCATAAAATGTAATGCCAGGTAGCGGAGATAGAAACTTTATAAAGGACACGAACACAAAGGGTTTTTTTTAACTTAAAATAAAAACATGCTTAAAACATTAGCACTTGCAATATTGTGTTTATTTAACAGTGTGATAAATGACACCTCTTGCTCTGAATTATTGCATCAAAACGTCTGTGCTGTTGCAATCTTGAGTATGCTGTTCAGGTGTGTATCTGTAAGCTGCAAACCTACGTTGACACAGCAGCAGCAGAACTGGAAGAAGAAGCAGAAGACAGCCAGTTCCACCGTGGGCCTGATGGAAGCGCTCCGGGGGCCTGATCCGGCCCCCGGGCGGCATATTTGACACCCCTGATTTAGAGAATTTATGTCCCACCTATTCAGAGGCCTGGTCAAAGCAGCTTGCCACCAAACTAAACTGGCAAGTATAAGCAAGGCAGGAGACAAAAACTACATAAAGCAAACATTGAGCAGCCTAAAGAATACCCATAAACAGTCCTTGGGCCAACATCAGATGTTAAATGGAGCCCCTTAGTTAAAAGCCTGGGTGAAAAGAAACCTCTTTCTCAAAGGCACCAGGAGGCCAAGAGAGAAAAAAGAGAGGGGTGGCCTGTTAGTCTGGAGTATGTTATGCCAACTTCTCCAGGAAATTCCTGGAGACCCAATCCAAGTTATCTACCAAGGAAGTTGGGTGGTTGTGGCTGTGCGTAAGTTCTATACCAGTCTATACAGAGGTCAGATGGCCAATGAGACGCTCGCTATATCCCAGGAAGTGAGACAACACGCTAGGATTAAGAATAAATGTTGTCTTTACTAAAGGTTTCTGCAGTCATACAAAATCAGAATCACACACACAGTTATACAAGCTCCTTAGTTACAATAGTACATCAGAACAATTACAGCATAGAAAATAACAAAAGCATCAAAATGGGGATGACACAATGGGGCACGGCTATACTCATCTGAGGTCCAGCTGAGGAAGAACTCTCCTCCTTGGAACGCTGGGCAGCCGAAATGCAGCAGCTTGTGAACTCCAAGGCACACAGGTAGGACCAGCCAAACCACGTGTGAGCTCTCTGGGTCGCGACTCCCGGAGAACTTAAGTAGTAGAGTCACTTGTAGCACCTTAGTGCACTGCTATGGGGAAGGTGGGTTAACCAGAGAGACAAAGGAGAGTTTCTCCTTAAATAAACTCTTTTTGGGGCATGTGCTATCCAGCCATAAACTATCAAATCCGTCCCCTAAACTATCACTACTGGATGAGGGGGGCTTGACGAGGGGATGACGCTCTACTAAGGGGTGGTGGCAATATGCAGATCCTATCCCTACATCAAAGGTGCCTTTTGGTGAGGTGTGAATCTTCCGTTCCCATGGACACCTCTTGACTTGCAGATCTGGTGCCTGCTCCAAGGCCATAAATGCTATTGTCTTCAGATCTCCAAACCAGATTAGGTGCAGAGGGTTACGTGATTCCTGGCATTCCGGTGATGTCGGGGTTCGCTGGGGGATTTTCCATAACTCTCCAAGTGGGTGCAATGGCGCGGTGTCTCCTCTATCCCGATGCAGGACGGGATATCTTCTCCAGGGAAGCACATGGTCCGTATGTGCTACGGCAGCCCCAGGCCAGCCTATCTCTAGGCAAGCATGAGATACAGAACAAAGCAACACAACCAAACAGCAGTCCCTGAATACACATTGCATAGACACACATAGACAGCATCACCACTATACAGAAATACAAACATAAGTTCATATAGTTACAAGTAGTTAAACTAGAGCGAGACTTTGGGTGCAAACGTCTAAACATGGAGAGAAGTGGTTTGGCAGAGGTTTCCCTCTTTCTTCCCACAGTGGACACACACTGGTTTTTTCCTCTTTGCTGCTCCCTCCCCCAAGAGAAGACTGGAAGAAAATTACTCACACTCTGTTTATTCCAGGGGAAAGCAGGTTGGTGTCCTCCACACCAGCAGCGGGACTATGGCTCTGTGATAGATCACCCACATTTACATTTGGGCAATCCAGCTGTTGTGCTGCAGCTGCTGTGATGGAGGACAGATTTCCACAGTGTCCAGGACTGCTTTCAATAGATGCCTGGGAAGTGGTATCAACCCCAGGAGATTCTGAGCCAATCCAGAAGGTCTGGCAATCCTACACAGAACTTCACACCAAAGGCTTTCAACAGCTGATCACGTCTTGTTTGACAGCTGCAATCCCCCTGTGAGCTGAATATCTTGTCTGTTTCTCTGTCCAAGTCTTCAGCTGAGGTCTTTCCTTCAATTGGAGATGCCAAGCAGCTGCTCTGCTATTGAGCCGTGGACCCATTTCTGCGAGAGAGAGGGAAATGTAGGACTGCCATCAGGCTATCTGATATCTTCTGAGCAAGTGGCGACAATCCGATTGCACTGCCAATTGCACCATGATGTACTTGAAAAGTCCCCTGACCAACAGGGTTGAACTGTTTGCAAACAGCTAAGTGACAGCGAATTGGCTCCATGTTCTCAGTCGGTGAACTGAACTGGCCAGTATTCAGGCCTCACTATCATACAGGTGAAGCTTTTCTGACGCAGCAGTGCATGATGTCACCCTATAAACACAACCCTCACACAGCATAATATAAAAAGACCCCTGCGGGATGAGACCATCTAGTCCAACATTCTATCTTACACAGACAGTGGCCAACCAGTTCCTCTGGAGGGCCAACAACAGGGCCTTACCCTAATTTTGCCCTTTGGCTCTGGGGTTTAGATGATTAGTGCCTCTGAATGCAGTGGCTCCCCTGTCACCAGGGGTAGCAGCCACAGATAGACGTATCCTCCATAAATCTGTCTAATCCCGTTTTAAAACTGCTTATTCCTGTGACCATCACTACATCCTCTGGCAGCAAATTCCGCATTTTAATCATTCTCTGTGTAAAGTATTATTTCCTTTTTCCATCCTGAACCTACTGCCCATCAGTTTCATTGGATGCCCTTGAGTTCTCGTTTTGGGAGAGGGAGAAGAGGTTCTCTTGGTCAACTCTCTCCAGCCTGTGTAAAGTAGTATTTACCTTTTTCTATCCTCAACCTACTGCCCATTAGTTTCATTGGATACCCTTGAGTTCTCATGTTTTTGGAGTTCTCTTGGTCAGCTCTCTCCACCCAATGCATAATTTTATAACCCTCTATCATGCCCCCCCCCCAAATGTCATCTAAACTGAAAAGTCCCAGACTCTTCAGGCTCTCCTCAAAGGGAAGGTGCTCCAACCCCCTCCTCATCTTGGTTGCCCTCCTCTGTACTGTCCCCAGCCCGACTCCCTCCACTGCGTATCTGGTGAAGATAACACCTCCTCATCGAGACAAAGTCTTCTCTCGGAAGGGAGAAGCAAAGCCGATGCACAGAACTCAAGTCAGTGAGCCCAGCCAGAAACTTCTCCATAGCCTCAAGGCAATTCTATGGCACAGCACGTACAGACCGCCAACTCAATCCTTAGAGGTAGGGTCGCCAATTCTGGGTTAAGAAACTGTGTGGACTCCAATTCCCAGGTGCAACAAGTCTTAAAGATACAGAGCAGCTTTACCAAGCTACAGATAACGCTGACTGGGGCCAGCATAGAAACCCGTGGAGATTTGGGGGCTGGGAGAGACCTCAAGGGTGTCTAATACTAGAGAGTCCGAGCCACTTTCTCCAGGAGCTCTGTGGCCTGGAGATTACGTGTAATTTCAGGATATCTCGAAGCTCTGCCTGGAGGCTGGCAACCCTCAAATAAACAGGAGAGGCCATGTGGGTGGAAACCTCCCTTCCCTTTCCCACAGTCTCCCGTTGCTCCTCAGGGATGTACTAAAAGGATTTCCAGTGGGTCTTCCAGAGTCTCCCATTGTTTCCAATGGGCAATCCTGTCCTTCCTTTTAGTGCATCCCCTCCTCAGTCCTCACCTTGGAGGGAGGCTTGCAGGTGCAGGTGCTCTCAAAGTGTTAAAGTGAAAAATGTCACAATTCCTAGAGGGGCCTCAGAGGAGGAAGGCCACGTGACTAGCAACAGCCGCGCCCCCTTCAGCCTCTACCGGCGGAAAAATCCCCCCAAAGTGGCTCGGCGACGTCATCAGCGTGGTCGCCCGGAAGGGGGAGGGGAGGCAGGCCGGGGAAGTCGGTGCAGGATTTTTAGAGGCAAATAGAGAAGTCCTAAAGTCATCCTCCGCTTGCAAGATTTCCCTTTGGACTCTGGAGAGCCCCCCCCCCCCCGGCAACTGCTGTGGGTCTCTCGGGGGTTCTCCTGCAGACCCACCCGGCTGCCCTCTGCACATGGGCAGAGTTGCCTCTCCACTAGCGGTCCCAGCTCCGGTCCTTGACTCCCTGGAGGGATCTGGCAGAGGAGGAGGACAATCCCGGGGTCCCGGGGAAGGCTCTTTGGAGCGGGAGTGAGAATGAGGGGAGAGCCGGACTCAGCTGCCCCTGGAGCAGGAAAAGACCCCGATGCCGCGAGGGCCGGGAGCAGAAGGGAGCTGTGGGGAGGATCTGGGCAGAAGAGCCTGGGGGACAGCGCCCTCCCTCCAGATGTGCAGCGCCAGCTGTTCAGGCAGTTCGGCTACCAGGAGGCGGAGGGGCCCCGGGAGGTCTGCGGCCGACTCCACCGTCTTTGCCGCCAGTGGCTGAAGCCGGAGAGGCGCAGCAAGAAGGAGATGCTGGACCTGGTGATCCTGGAGCAGTTCCTGGCCGTCCTGCCCCCGGAGATGGAGAGCTGGGTCCGGGAATGTGGGCCGGAGACCAGTTCGCAGGCGGTGGCCCTGGCAGAAGGCTTCCTCCTCAGCCAGGCAGAGGAGAAGGATCAGAACCTGCAGGTGAGAGAGGGCACAGGGTATGGCCAAGGTAGATGTGTCCTTGAAATACATGTGCATCTTGTCTCACTAACATTTTAGATTTTTTTGTGGGGGTGGCCCTGGCAGAAGGCTTCCTTCTCAGCCAGGCAGAGGACAGGAACCAGGACCAGCAGGTGAGGGGGGGGGCCCACAGGATATGGCCAAGGATATACCCTCAAAATACATGTGGATCTTGTCTCACTAACGTTTTAGGTTTCTTTGTGGGTGTGGACAAGGGTGACCCAGTTGGTGTTGTTTACCTCGACTTCCAGAAAGCTTTTGATAAAGTTTCTCATCAGAGTTTCCTAAGTAAACACACCAGTCGTGGGATAAGAAGACAAATCCTCTTTTGGATTAAAAACTGGTTAAGAGGGAACTGATTGAGTATAATTGGGTAGTTTTCACTGTGGAAGGTGGTAGGCAGTGGGCTACCACTGGACTTGGTGCCTGGCTTTTTTAATTAATTATTTGGAGTTGGGAGTAAGCAGTGAGGTGGCCAAGGTTGCAGCTGACACAAAGTTGTTCAGGGCGGTGAGAACCAGGGAGGACTGTGACGTCCTCCAGAGGGATCCGGCCAGACTGGGCGAGTGGACATCAACGTGGCAAATGAAGTTCAACGAGGGCAAAGTAGTGCATGTTAGAGCCAAAAATCATAACTATATTATAGGTGGATGGGGTCGGAACTGGCAGTAACTGACTAGGAGATACCTCTTTGAGTCGTTGTAGGTAGCTCAGTGAAGATGTCAGTTCAGTGTTTAACTGCAGTTAAAAAAAAAAAAGCAAGCACTGTGCTGGGGATTATTAAAAAGGGTACTGAAAACAAACCAGCCAGTATCATAATGCCCCTGTATAAATCTATGGTGCAGTGTCATTAAGAGTGCCACGTACAGTTCTGGTCACCGCATCTCAGAAAAGGTACGATAACATTGGAAAAGGTGCAGAAAAGGGCAACTAAAATGATAAAGGGGATGAAACTCCTTCCCTGTAAAGAGAGGCTAAAGACGTTAGGGCCCTATAGCTTGGAGGAATGACAAGTAAGGGGTGACATGGCAGTGTTCCCTCTAAGCTGAGTTAGTGTGAGCTAGCTCACAGTTTTTTAGCCTCCAGCTCACAGATTTTGGTCTTAGCTCAGGAAGGATGGCTCCAGAACAAACTAATTTATGTAGTAGCCAAATCACTTGCTCACAATTTTAATGCCAGCAGCTCACAAAGTAGAATTTCTGCTCACAAGACTCCA